ACAACCGTTAACTATCTACAACACAGTTAACCATCCACACCACACAATTAACTATCTACACACCACAGTTAACTATCTACACACCACACTATTAACTATCTACACACCACAGTTAACTATCTACACACCACTGTTAACTATCTACATACCACAGTTAACCTTCCACACCACACTGTTAACTATCTGCACCACAGTTAACCATCCTCACCACACCGTTGACTATCTGTATCCCTCTGTTGACTAAAATATACCTTTTATAAAACCATCTATGAGGAGGGGCTGGCCGAAATGTTAAGAACGCTTGGTTCGCATGCTAACCTGCACAGTCCGTGGCGACAGCATTAGCCATGCGGCCTTAAAGCCTCAGGCTTGAAGACTCCTCGCTCACAGCGCAGAAGTGATCAATACAGACATAAATGGCAGCTTTACAAAATAATCTGTAAAGCTTCCATTATTTACCTTTATATTCACGGTTATCTACATAAACACAATGCTTGGGCACTAAACAGAAAATAACTACCTGTGAAATGCACTTTCTCCGTAAGGTCACTAACAATAAAAGAAAGGATAGCTTAACGAATACTGTACCAGCATTAAAGAGACAAATGGGATAAGACCATGTCTGGATTATACTGACAGACAAAGAATTATATGGTTCGGCCATCTAGTGAGAATGCATATGAGACTTTTTACAGTAAAACAAGACGAGAGAAAGACCAAGAAAGAGATGAATAAATGGTGTAGTCGAAACCTGCTTGCTTGTTTGCTTGTTGTACCCCACCAGGACATCACACAAGCGATAAACACCCGGTGACACAGAGTGCTACTATTCGGGTGCGGATCACCTGTGGAAAGGTACCAGAAACCTTTCTAGCCGTAATGGCCACATTCATGGCCCGGCTATATTCAGGGTCCCGGCAAAAGCCAAGGTACGGCTTCAACCTGCGAAGATGAACTAATCCATCACTGATGCTACTTGAGAAGCACAAGACAAATACAGAAAACCACCACACTGAGCTACAACCTGGTATAAGTGAGAAATAAAAGAAAGAAGAAGAAAGAAGATCCACCCAGACAATACCGTTGTCTATTTATAAAGATTCGTGAACCCTCTGCATAAAACTACTAAAGATCTAAATACTAGGTTTTATTTGCTATTTACAGCACAAATGCCATTGTTAATCATCTCTGTACTACTGTTAACAATCTATGTAGTACACTTAATTACTTATATAGCATTTTAAACTCATAAATATATATGCCAAAGTAGACTGTTTTGTCAGAAGTGAACAATGGAGCTGGCTCAAGGAATTGGAGGAGTTACCAGGTGATAGGTTACTCATATGTGGGGATTTCAACGCGAGGAAAAGAGAATGGGACAACAGTGGAGAAAACCGACAGGAATTGCTCTTGCAGAGGCCATTGTTGACTCCAATATGGTCTGCATCAATGATGGGAGGCCGACTAGAATGACAATGAGGTCTGGAGATGCAGACACAGCCATTGACTTGACATTTGGTTCTTAGTCGTCGGTTTTAGATGTTAAATTGACTGTCCTGAATGACCATGATAGTGATCACCTACCATGTTCAGTCTTGATTTCTAAACTTAGTAAGGTTAAGGTTGGGAGAGTACGCAAGACCTCCCAGTATAAGTGGACCAACAACATACTTGGACGCCTCAGACGGGGAGCATGCAAAAGAACTACCAGAACTAATTTTCTACAGCCCCCATGGTGGACTCCAGAAGTAGAACAGACATGGAAGGCAAAGAGAGCCGCAGTGAAGCAGCTAAAGAAAGTACGACAGACACCCTAAAGCTCACGAGAGGAAGTGGAGATGGCGGAGAATGTGAAAAAAGATAACGTGGAGGCTTTCAAGCGCTGTGCTGCAGAGGCCAAAAGAGCAAAGTGGGGAACTTTTGTCAATGATATGGGAGGCGATAAAAACATTAGGGAAATTCTGGAAACTGCAAAGGCAGATGCAAAGAAAAGATCGGCCTATGACAGTCGGAACAATTTGTAGAGACAATGGTGTGCGTGTGACAACAGACAAGGAGAAAGGGGAGGCTTTTCCTCATAGGTTTATAGCTCAGACAGATCATAATGATGTAGACATCAGGGATGCAGTTAGAAATAGGTTAGCTGGCACCTTGAAGAATATGCATTATGAAGACATGATACAAGTGGAAGATATCAAGCACATTTTGAAAAAAGCAAAAGACACTGCACCAGGGCCTGATGGTTTCAGGTATGGTCACATGAAGGCTTTGAGCGATGTAGACCTGCCAGAGATGGCCGACTGTTTTAACCAGAGTATTAAGACAGCATCAGTACCGCAAGACTGGGTGCACAGTTATTTAATCCCACTACCAAGACCTTTTAAAGATCATACAAAGCTTAGTGGCTTTAGAATTATCACCTTACAAAACACATTTGGGAAGGTCTTGGAAAAGATAGTTGCTGTAAAGTTACAAGAATTTTTGGAAAGGGGGAAGCTTCTCCCAAGAGGTCTGGGAAGTTACAGGCCAGGAAAGGACACTTGGGCAAATGCGGCCACTTTTGCTTTTGACGTCTATGAAGGGTTCCAGAACAGACAGGAAACTATGGCGGTAGGACTGGATCTCGAGAATGCTTATAACAGAGTGAGATACGACATCTTAATGACTGCACTGAAGATGAAGGTAAGTCCATGGCTAATGAATTGGGTTGCAGCTGTCCTGTATTCACGTCAGGTTGCTCTCCGACTGAGCTCATGGACCTCTGAACCATGCACTTTGGCCCCAGGACTGCCACAGGGATCCGCCATTTCGCCTGTGCTCTTTAACGTGTATACGAGCAAGATTGCAAGCCTAGAAGCACCAGGAGTTGGAAGGATACTGACTTTTGCGGATGATATACTTGCATATAGGCAGGGGGAAGAGAGGGAGCAAACAGCTCGGGAGCTACAAGCGACAGTAGACAAAGTGACTGAGTGGTGTACAGAAATGAGGGCTGTCGTCCACCCGGAAAAGGCATCTGTTTTGTGGTGTTCTCTGGACAACAGAATCGTTAAAACTAATGTCCCAAGTCTCACGATAGATGGTAGAGACGTCAACAGAGAGAGCAAACTGAAGTATTTGGGAATTACATTTGACAGGAGCCTGTCATTTAAGGACCATGTGGAGAGTGTTGTGACGAGATGCCAAAAAGGACTTAGTGCACTTAAGACTATGGCTGCAATTGACATAGAGCAGAGAATGCTTTTCACACTATATCAGCAGCTTATCCTGTCAGTGGTGGATTATGGCCTGGGACTGCTTACCGTCTCAAAGAGTCAGATGGACAAACTAGAGCGCATACAGAACGCGGCTATGCGGGTTATTCTGGGTTGTACCAGAGACACCCCAGTGGTTTGTATGCGATACATCCTTGGTTTGCCGACGGTTGCAGGTAGGCACAAGGTGCTGCAGGCGAAGTCATATCTCAGGGTAGCTGCAGACACAAACCACCCTCTGTATGAAGCTCTGGGTGCAGTTAAGGGTCAGCGGCTGATAAGAGGGAGGTCATGGATGGCTCAGGCAGAGGACACAATCAAACAGGTTTGCATCCTTGAGAACATTAGGCGGGGAGAGGAGTGGGTCAAAGTGCCACCCGAGCAGATAGACCTGTGTAGAGTCATAATCACTCTGAGCCGGAAATGCAGAGATTGGTCAGCAGGTGCCACAGAGGTGGAAATTCAGCAATTAATTCAAGATAATGCTCGCTCGGAGGATTTGATCATTTACACAGACGGTTCAGTGTCAAGAGGCAAAAGAAGTGCTTGGGGCTTCTTAGCAAAAGTTAATGGTCGACGTTTGGTGCAGGAGAGCCTAGCATATGATACCACAACATCCAGTTTAAGAATGGAAGTGGAGGCGGTCACTGCAGCTTTCTGCTGGCTAGAGAACATGACACACACACACATCGTGATTGTAACTAATTCAGAAAGCATGCTGAGGAAGATCCGAACAGGTATGCTTAGTGCAGAGTGGCATGCTTCGCTGCGGAGGACACAAGTGAGGAGTATTGTCTGGATTTTTTCACCGGGTCACGCCGGTGTGTTGGGAAATGAACAGGCGGACAGACTGGCTGGCTCTGCACAACTTGGTGGAATACTGATACATGATAGGGCAGACGTGGTTAGTGCCTTGTGGGAGAGCGTGTACAATTCGGAGGAGCAGATGGATCACCACAGTCTGGTGAGATTGATGCAGTTGGGGGTGACGAGAGGTTCTGGCAGAAGCTCGAAGCTCAGAGGAAAGACAAGACGGACGTTTAATCAGAAAGCTACTGGCACCATTAGTATCGGAACTCTTCGCTGGCTGCTGAAGATTGGGACGGAGCGCTTATGGGAATGCCTCGAGTGCTGTGATGTCGGTTCTTGAATCAAATCAAGTCATTAAAAACATTTTTTTTTTTTTTTGCGTGCATGTCTGATTCTCTCCTCTTCCCTCTCTCATACGCATACACTCTTCCTAAAACACACGCGCACACACATTCTTTTTATCTGTTCTTTTTTTCCCTCTGCAGAGTGGAAGATGGATGGTTGGAAAGATCGAGTGTAAGGCTTCGGTGCCCAGGGTGTAATTCTTTTAAAAAAGCTATCACTCCGCCACCCCCCCCTCTCTCTCTCTCTCAAACCACTCTTTCTCTCTTCTCTAATTTTCTCGTTTTGTTTTCCTCATTTTATTCTCGTCTCTCATCCTCCAGTTTACTCTTTCTCTAATTTCTCGTTTTGTTTTATTCATGGAATATTTTTTCCTCCTTAGTTTTCATCATCTCTCTTAGGCTCCTGTTATCATTGTCATGACGTGGAAGATCATCTGTGCGAGAACTAATTGAAAGCACACGAGTCAGAAGATTATGGATAGTCATGACTAACAATGGCACACGGCATACGCTTTAAAAAGAATGAATCTTCTAAGCGCTCGCGCTCTCTCACTCTTACCCACAAATAATAAACAATGGTCACTCATTCCAGACTGCCCCGAAGGCACCTTTGGTGTGACATGTGAGTTTAACTGTTCTGAGACCTGTCTAAATGGACAGTGCCACCACTTCACGGGCAACTGTCTGCACTGTGCGGGCAACTTGACGGGAAGCAGGTGTGAAGGTAGGCCTCTGTATATATGTATGAGGGTAGAATTAGGTATACATACATATGCAGATGTGAAAGTAGCACTCAAGACATGCGTATGTAGATGTGTGGGTACAACTCTATACATGCGTATGTAGATTTGAGGGTAGAACACATGTGTGTGTGTGTTTATGTGAAGATAGAACTCTAGACATGCGTATGTAGATGTGAGGGTAGAACTCTAGACTGCGTATGTAGATGTGAGGGTAGAACTCTAGACATGCGTATGTAGATGTGAGGGTAGAACTCTAGACTGCGTATGTAGATGTGAGGGTAGAACTCTAGACATGCGTATGTAGATGTGAGGGTAGAACTCTAGACTGCGTATGTAGATGTGAGGGTAGAACTCTATACATGCTTATGTAGATGTGTGGGAACAACTCTATACATGCTTATGTAGATGTGTGGGAACAACTCTATACGTGCGTATGTAGATGTGAGGTTAGAACTCTGTTCATGTGTGTGTGTTTGTGTGTGTGTGTGTATGTGTGTTGATGTAAAGGTATAACTCTATACATGCGTATGTAGATGTGAGGGTAGAACTCTATTCATGCGTATGTAGATGTGAGGGTAGAACTCTATACATGTGTGTGTGTTGATGTGAAGGTAGAACTGTATACATGCGAGTTTAGATGTGAGGGTATAACTCTAGACAGTGTATGTGGATGTGAGTGTAGAACTCTATACATGCGTATATAGTTGTAAGGGTAGAACTCTAGAACTAAAAGGTTGCCTGCACATCCGTTTTACAGATCTGATTTATTTGTGTGCAGACTATTGGTTCCTTGCCTCTCAGTCAGATGCACTCCGACTTCAAAGGAAGCATCACTAATCGGTCGTTCTTAACGCTATGCTTGTTAAGGAGATAGGCAGTCTATTATTGTCTCCCCCATAATTGGACATACACAGGGAATTCAACATCTAGAGCATTGGAAAAAAAAAAAAAAAAAGGAAGTCAGAACGTACCTTATACACTTGCCGTCCGTTTTAGGTTGAAATTTTTCGTTTAATCCAGTGATCTCACTGTGAGATGCAATTTTTCGTTGAGCCCTACTCTAGCTCTTGCCAGGGGCCGCAATATAGCCTGGCCATATATATGGCCTAAAGGCTAAACTCGGTTTCTAGGGCCTCTCCACGGTGATTCTCACCCACATGGTGGCACATTGTGTCATCGGGTGTTTATCGCTTGTGTGATGTCCTGGTGGGGTAAAAAGTCAGCCATTCAGGTGACAGGTTCAATTCCCGGCACGGTAACTATAGCTTTCGATTTTTATGTTGTCTAGTGTGTTCTTCTATCTTTCTACTTTTTTCTATGAGTGCCGATCAATACACGTTCTGTTACTTGATTAAGTCAGAAAGGGAAGCCCACAGAACACACGGAGAACGGAGCTAGAGGGCGGAGGTTAAAAAGAAAGAAGAAGACAAGGGGTGAGTTGCATGCGATCGCAAACTTCAGGACGGCTTAGCGTGAGTTGGTGGAAGGTCTATGTTCTATTGTGAGATACAGGGGAGAAGAATAAGAAGTTTGGCATTGCTGCTTGAACGGTCGGCAGTCCTTACCATAGCAAAAACCGCTAAAAAACACAAAGCGGTCTTCTGCCAAATCACCTGCAGATGGAGTTTAGCAGCGACAGAAAACGATAAGACGTCTTGGCTGAACGGATTTATGGAACTATGCTTCATTCCGGGATAAAGGACAACAGAAGAGGTTTGCCATTGTCAACCGAAAGATCGGCTCTTCATACCATTGTCGAAAATAACACAAAGCGATCTTATGTCAAACCAAACGCAAACAGAACTCAACAGCGTATTCCGAAATTACGAAGGGCGTTCGCAACACCTTAACCGCAGGTACCCAAATTTACTCTTTAGAGTGGAAAATATGAACACACTCAAATTATCTCATGTATGCCCCATGTGGGTTCCGGGGCCCTATTATAGGAAAAACAAGAACAGACCCACTGCCTACCCAAAAGCATGTCGTAAAAGTCGACTAATTCGGGGCTTCCTTCAAAGTCAGAGTGCATCTGCCTGAGAGGCAGGGAACCAACAGTCTGCATACAAATTAGTCAGATCTGTCAAACGCGTAAATCTCAAGTTCTGAAACATGAATGCAGTCCAGAAGTGGACGAACAATCAGAACTTTCCACCAGAGTTTACAGCTGGTAACCGCCAAGGAGATGATCTCTTGAATGCCGAGCAATTTGTATTATATTATATCACTGATAACCGGAGTGGTGTCCCACGATTCTGGTTCCACCCTCAGCGTGCCAGAGAGGACATTATGGAGAAAGATGTTCCGAAAACTGTTCGTCTCTGTGTGACAATTTTGATTGCGAGAAGTCTTTTGGTCATTGCATCAAGTGTAACGATCCTCGTTCTGGGCCATTCTGTGATGGTTTGTATCGGTTTCTTTCTTTCTTTCTTTCTTTCTTTCTTTCTTTCTTTCTTTCTTTCTTTCTTTCTTTCTTTCTTTCTTTCTTTCTTTCTTTCTTTCTTTCTTTCTTTCTTTCTTTCTTTTCTTTCTTTCTTTCTTTTCTTTCTTTCTTTCTTTCTTTCTTTCTTTCTTTCTTTCTTTCTTTCTTTCTTTCTTTCTTTCTTTCTTTCTTTCTTTCTTTCTTTCTTTCTTTCTTTCTTTCTTTCTTTCTTTCTTTCTTTCTTTCTTTCTTTCTTTCTTTCTTTCTTTCTTTCTTTCTTTCTTTCTTTCTTTCTTTCTTTCCTTCTTTGTTTGTTTGTTTGTTTGTTTGATTGTTTATTTGTTTGTTTGTTTCCTTCCTTCTTTCCCTCCTTCCTTTCTTTCTTTCTTTCTTTCTTTCTTTCTTTCTTTCTTTCTTTCTTTTCTTTCTTTCTTTCTTTCTTTTTCTTTCTTTCTTTCTTTCTTTCTTTCTTTCTTTCTCTTTCTTTCTTTCTTTCTTTCTTTCTTTCTTTTTCTTTTCTTTCTTTCTTTCTTTCTTTCTTTCTTTCTTTCTTTCTTTCTTTCTTTCTTTCTTTCTTTCTTTCTTCTTTTCTTTCTTTCTTTCTTTCTTTTTTTTCCTTCGTTGTTTTTCTTCTTCTTTTTCTAAAAAGAAGATTAGGAAGAAACAGCAGCAGCAGCATAAGGAGGAGAAGAAGAAGAAGAAGAAGAAGAAGTAGAAGAAGAAGAAGAAGAAGAAGAAGAAGAAGAAGAAGAAGAAGAAGAAGAAGAATAAGAAGAAGAAGAAGAGGAGGAATAAGAAGGAGGTGGAGGAGGAGGATAAAGAGAATAATAATAATAATAATAATAATAATAATAATAATAATAATAATAATAATAATAATAAGATGATGAAGAGGAAAAAGAAGAAGAAGAAGAAGAAGAAGAAGAAGAAGAAGAAGAAGAAGAAGAAGAAGAAGAAGAAGAAGAAGAAGAAGAAGAAGAAGAAGAAGAAGAAGAAGAAGAAGAAAAAAGAAAAAAGAAGAAGAAGAAGAAGAAGAAGAAGAAGAAGAAGAAGAAGAAGAAGAAGAAGAAGAAGAAGAAGAAGAAGAAGAAGAAGAAGAAGAAGAAGAAGAAGAAAAAGAAGAAGAAAAAGAAGAAAAAGAAGAAGAAGAAGAAAGAAAAAAAAATGAAAAAAGAGCAGCAGCGGGAGGACAGGGAGGAGGAGACATTATAAACATATGATTTTATTTCCTATTTATTGTTTTATCATCGTCATCATTATCATCACCATCATCATCACCATTATCATCATCACCATCATTATCGTCATTTTTAATACTAACTGAGACAGGACTTTGGCTCTTGGAGATCGCCTCTAAAAAAATATAAATAAGAGCGCTGAGTGCCCATTCTCTCTCCGTGTATTCTTTGTGCCAGCGCCCCGATTTGTGGTTTATTAGTGTAACTAACTGTTATCTAGCGTAATTATTATTGTCCTTATCATTTGATTGCCAGTGTGTCCAGAAGGTTTATATGGGCTCGGCTGCTCCGAGGAATGCAACCCTTTGTGTGACATCGGTTTTTGCCATCATCTAACTGGAGAATGCACGAAGTGTTTGGGCAACTTTACAGGGTCTCTGTGTGAAGGTTGGTTATCCGTGTATATAAATCTACAGGCAACTTTACAGGGTCTCTGTGTGAAGGTTGGTTATCCGTGTATATAAATCTACAGGCAACTTTACAGGGTCTCTGTGTGAAGGTTGGTTATCCGTGTATATAAATCTACAGGCAACTTTACAGGGTCTCTGTGCGAACTTTGGTTATCCTTGTATAAACATGCACAGGCAACCTTAAAGAGTCCCAGTGGGAAGGTTGCTTATCCGTGTATAGAGATGTACAGGCAATTTTACAGGGTTCCAGTATGAAGGTTGGTTATCCATGCATAGAAGGAGGCATCTTCACATAGCCCCAGTTTGAATGCTAGTTGATCGTTATTGAAGTGTACAGGCAACTTTACAGGGCTCCAGTGAGAAAGTGATTATCCATGTAAAGAAGTTTACAGGCAACTTTATAGGGCCCAGTGCGAAGGTAAAAAAAAAAAAGCATGTAAAAACGTTTACAGGTAACTTTACAAGACCGAATGTATAGGTTGGTTATCCCTTATAGAAGTTTGTGGGCAACTCTACACAGCCCCAGTGTGAAGGTTGGTTCTCCATTATTCAAGTTTTCAGGGCCTCAGAGTCAAGAGAAATGTACAGGGAACATCACAGAGCCCTAGTGCCATAATTGATCCTCCATGTCTAGAAATGTATAGGCAACTTAACAGAGCTCAGTCATGATGGCTGATTCTCCATCATCAACATCATCAATCATTACCTTCATCATCAGATGCCTTGCTAGCTGGCTAAGCCGTTTATGCATCTCCACAGACCTCGGTCTTTGGTGTTCTGGATCAATTCCTCCATGCCACTGTCTTAAGCCATGCACCGTCATTTCTCTTGGTCTGCCTCTGCCTCTTCTACCATTGATCTTTCCAGTCGTGGAGATATTTTCTAGTGCTCCTTTTCTAATCACATGACCAAATAGCTTGTTTTGTTTTCTGCTCATTGTTGTATACAATGTTCTACTTTCATTAGCTATTTCCATGATAATCATTGTTATTTGCCTCCAAACTCTTCTTCCTGCAGCACACACACAAAAAGCATTTCACTCTGAAAACTGCATCATTCGCATGACCTTGGAAGTTATGTATCATCCACATAACACTAGAAATAATGTGACACCCACATGACACACAAAATTATAAGTCAAATATATGACATCGTTTTCTTTGTCTTCTGACTATATATCTCGACGCTATTTCCCCCTTTTACAACAAACAAAGACAATTTAATATACTGTCACTCCCTACTTTCAACTTATGCAAGTGAATATATTGATTTTACACCTCCAGATTTGACACCGCCTAGTCTCTAATCTTTACCCCTCCCCCCTCCTTCTCCATTATAGACACCTAAGTCCCCAGATGAACACACAAACATCCAATCCTGTCATCCCAGTCAAGAGTGTTGAAACCTCAACCTCCATTTTTGATACTCAACTTCTAACCTTGTCACAGCCTTTACCAGCTTTGGTATCCCCAACCTCCGTCTTGATCCCAGACTTCCTGTCCTGTTCTCCTAGTTACTAGCTTTGACACCTCCAGCATTGTCACCCAAACTTCCAAACCTGTCCCTGCCCCCTTTCCCCAGCCTTGACACCCAAACTCTTGTCACCCCAGTCACCAGCTTTGACACCCCAGCCTCCAGCATTGATACTCACATTTCCAAGCCTGTCACCCCAGTCTCCAGCATTGATACTCACATTTCCAAGCCTGTCACCCCAGCCTCCAGCATTGATACTCACATTTCCAAGCCTGTCACCCCAGCCTCCAGCATTGATACTCACATTTCCAAGCCTGTCACCCCAGCCTCCAGCATTGATACTCACATTTCCAAGCCTGTCACCCCAGCCATCAGAATTGATACTCACATTTCCAAGCCTGTCACCCCAGTTACCAGCATTGACACTCACACTTCCAAGCCTGTCACCCCAGTTACCAGCATTGACACTCACACTTCAAAGCCTGTCACCCCAGTTACCAGCATTGACACTCACTCTTCCTAGCCTGTCACCCCAGTTACCAGCATTGACACTCACACTTCTAAGCCTGTCACCCCAGCCTCCAGCATTGACACTCACACTTCTAAGCCTGTCACCAAAGTTACCAAACATTGACACTCACTCTTCCAAGCCTGTCACCCCAGTTACCAGCATTGACACTCACACTTCTAAGCCTGTCACCCCAGCCTCCAGCATTGACACTCACACTTCAAAGCCTGTCACCCCCGCCTCCAGCATTGACACTCACACTTCCAAGCCTGTCACCCCAGTTACCAGCCTTGACACTCACTCTTCCAAGCCTGTCACCCCAGCCTCCAGCATTGTCACTCACGCTTCCAAGCCTGTCACCCCAGTCTCCAGCATTGTCACTCACACTTCCAAGCCTGTCACCCCAGCCTCCAGCATTGACACTCACACTTCTAAGCCTGTCACCAAAGTTACCAACATTGACACTCACTCTTCCAAGCCTGTCACCCCAGTTACCAGCCTTGACACTCACACTTCCAAGCCTGTCACTCCCACCTCCAGCCTTGACACGTCCCTCCTGTGCCTGTTTGTTTCAGATTGTACAACGGCCACGTATGGACCAAACTGTACGCTTTCTTGTCCAGACTTTTGCCTGGATCACGAGTGCGACCTCATCTCCGGCAACTGTTCTCTGTGCCAGGGGCAGCGGACTGGGGAAAGGTGTGACGGTATGTTGGTACCGGTGTCCTCTAGCTTTTCTACTTACCTTCCAACCTGTCCGCCCACCTACCGGTCTAACTATTACCCACTTGCATATCTACTTACCTTCTGACCTGTCCGCCCATCTACGGGTCTAACTATTACCCACTTGCATATCTACTTACCTTGCGACCTGTTCGCCCACCTACCGGTCTAACTTTTACCCACTTGCATATTTACTTACCTTTCGACCTGTCCGCCCACCTACCGGTCTAACTATTACCCACTTGCATTTCTACTTACCATCTGACCTGTCCGCCCACCTACGGGTCTAACTATTACTCATTTGCATATCTACTTACCATCCGACCTGTCCGCCCACCTACGGGTCTAACTATTACCCACTTGCATATCTACTTACTATCCGACCTGTCCGCCCACCTACGGGTCTAACTATTACCCACTTGCATATCTACTTACCATCCGACCTGTCTGCCCACCTACGGGTCTAACTATTACCCACTTGCATTTCTACTTACCATCCGACCTGTCCGCCCACCTACGGGTCTAACTATTACCCACTTGCATATCTACTTACCTTCCAACCTGTCCGCCCACCTACCAGTCTAACTATTACCCACTTTCATATCTACTTACCTTCCAACCTGTCCGCCCACCTACCAGTCTAACTATTACCCACTTGCATATCTACTTGCCTTTCGACCTGTCCGCCCATCTACGGGTCTAACTATTACCCACTTGCATATCTACTTACCTTCCGACCTGTCCGCCCACCTACCAGTCTAACTATTACCCACTTTCATATCTACTTACCTTCCAACCTGTCCGCCCACCTACCAGTCTAACTATTACCCACTTGCATATCTACTTACCTTCCGACCTGTCCGCCCATCTACGGGTCTAACTATTACCCACTTGCATATCTACTTACCTTCCGACCTGACCGCCCACCTACCGGTCTAACTATTACCCACTTGCATACCTACTTACCTTCCGACCTGTCAGCCCACCTACGGGTCTAACTATTACCCACTTTCTTATCTACTTACCAACATATACACTTATCTGCTTGCTTAATAACCTAATACCTCCCAACCTACTTACCTACCTACCTGCCTGACCGCCTACTTTCCTAACCTCATCCCTACCTACTAGACTACTTTCATAAAACCGGGTGACCTTACTTTATTGGAAAAGAGATGAGGTGAATGGATTGAGAAAAGGATGTATAAAAGTATATAGAAACGAGAAGGAGAGAAAGCCAGAGAGAAGACGAGAGAAGATTATAGGAGAAGCTCGTCCTTTTGTGTGTGTAGAAATAAACTCTGTATCACCCTCAGGTAAATAATAGACATCGGGGGTTTAATGTTTAATTAACAATCGACATCACAGCACTCGAGACATTTTTTATAAGCGCCCCGACCCCATCTTCAGCAGCCAGCGCAGAGTTCTAGTTCCAATGGTGCCAACAACAATCTGATTGTCTCACTTTTCCCTTGAGTGCCGGGGTCGACACGGGGTGTGTGTGGGAGGAGGGGGGGGGGGAGGGGTCTAAAAGAGTAAGTACCACTGATGGTATAGTACAACAACCAACAGAGGTCCAAAGCGAAATATCTAAGGGGGAAATGAAACGATAAGGATTACCAACAGTATTTAGTCGGGAACAGTCTTTCAAAGTTAAATGTCTCTTTCCCCGTGTCGGTTCCGGGGCTTCGTTTGGGAGAGCAGAGAATGAACCCGCTGCCCCATAACAAGCGTATCGTAGGAGGCTACTATTTGATGGTGTTTCCTTTACAGTTATACATCTGGCGGAGAGGCAAGGGACCAGCCGCATACAAATAAGTCACGTTTGCAAAAAGGTTATGCACGCACAACGGATGCTCTGGATCACGACCAGAAACCAGCTGTGGACGAACCACCACGACTTTTCTATCTGTGTTTACAGACGATTGAATCAAAGCAAAAGGAAAAGAAGAAGAAGAAGAAGAAGAAGAAGAAGAAGAAGAAGAAGAAGAAGAAGAAGAAGAAGAAGAAGAAAAAGAGAAGAAGAAGAAAAGGAGAAGAAGAAGAAGAAGAAGAAGAAGAAGAAGAAGAAGAAGAAGAAGAAGAAGAAGAAGAAGAAGAAGAAGAAGAAGAAGAAGAAGAAGAAAAGAAGAAGAAGAAAACGAAGAAGAAGAAGAAGAAAAAGAAGAAGAAGAAAAAGAAAAGGGAAAAAAAAAGAAGAAGAAGACGACGATGACCTTGTGACATGTAGTATAAACACAAACGCTCACTGTTGAAAGACGAAATCTTGATTTCCTGGCCTGTTGTTCCCACAGAGTGTCCTCAGGGCACCTATGGAGATGCTAACTGCTCTCACAGCTGCTCCGAATTCTGTCTTGGCCAGCAGTGTCGTACTGATGGATCTTGTTTCGAGTGCAAGGGTCACCATCTGGGCTTAAAGTGTGATAGTTGAGTATCTGTCCTTGTCATCATCATCGTCATCATCATCATCATCATCATCACAAATTTGGGCCTACCTGTTGTATTGAATTAAGGATTTTCTTATGCCGGGGCTCAGGCCTCTGACTATTGACGATCCCCGCATTCAAAAGTTTGGCCCCTGAGTTGACTAACCCTGGTCTAGGACATCACAGCATGCCATGCTGCTTAGCCTGCCCTGGCTCGGCTACCAGTCAACTGTTAAACTCTTGTGCCTGGTAGCACTAAGTGGAATGGGGAAGGATATAGTTTCGTTCCCCAGCCTCTGAGTTGAGTGCATGGCGTGACACTGTGAGCTGCGGATTTCATTTAAACTGTGATAAACATTTTTTTTTTTTTTTTTGGCACAGAAGCGGAGCAGCTATGGGGTGACCCGTTTGCTATGAAGCTGAAACTAAGATTACCAGATTACAACTTTGGGCATATACATTGGTGTCTTCTGCTGCTGAGATTGGGTTAGCGCAAGAGGCAGATTTGTTGTTCAGTAAAACGGGTACATAAATGAAACAACCATTGGTTATAATAACAGAGATCTAGGCTGCCTCTGTGGCATTTAGGTGCTTGTCTCATACTTCTTCTACACTTCCTCTTTTCCGCTTTGTGTGTCGAAGGAGATATAACGTTCTACTCATTGCTCTTTTGGCCACCTGGATCATTGACACATCCTGCTGATGTAGAAGTTTAGGTTGGGAGATAATGACGAATCTCTGACGCTAACACGACTTCGTGACCGAGAAGTTGAGCTTGGTGAAGCACGACTCTGCCGTCTTAGAGTTAAAGACAGGAGATACTATAACCAAGTCCTCATGGGAACAATAAGTAGAGCTACCTTGAAGTGGCTGCTGCATTGGAGGACTGAGCACGCATTGGGATGCCCATTGTGCAAAGACGTCGATTGTGATAACATAACAACATAATTGTTTTGTAGGAATACTGTTCATTTTCACTAAAATTTATTATATTTAGTATTATAATTGTTTTGAAATGTAGGCATACTTAGAGCACATTGTTACTAAGATGTAGTTGATGATGTCTGTTGTTACGATTATTATCTGCTAAAAGGATATGTGCATGAATAATGGGTGCCTCGAGTGAGGCCAGAGGGGCCGAATGTAAGATGGGCCTGTGTGCCCAATTCTTAGCCCATTAAAAAAAAAAAGTTTGTTCGTTCGTTCTGTCTGTCTGTCTGTCTGTCTGTCTGTCTGTCTGTCTGTCTGTCTGTCTGTCTGTCTGTCTGTCTGTCTGTCCGTCTGCCCGTCTATCTTTCATCTCTACAGCCATCTAAGACTTCTGCAGCTTTTAATAAACGTTTAATTTCTAACGAGGCCAAGTTTATTCAAAAAATTGCATCTCAAAATAGTCCAAACTACCTGCTCCAGATGATTAAATCTAATCCTACAAACAACAAGCGACTAAGTTTATTACATATGCCCACACCTAGAACAGACTTATATAACACACGTTTAGCACATTTAGCCCTTCATATGTGGAACTATCTTTCACTTGATCTGAAAATTACAAAGAGTTCATATTCATTTAACTTCATTCTTGTTCAGTTCATGATTACAACTGATTATATGCCACCTTAAATGTAGTTAATAATCCATATTGCATTATCAGTTTGTGATTAGATAAGATGTGTATGAAATGTATTGATGTATGAGTGATATTTATGTAAGTGTGTATGTGTAGGCGCGTTTGTGTATGTATGAATATGTTTAGTATGAGTGTGTGCTTGGGTAATTATGTACGTTTAGGTGTTGGGTTATTTGGGTATGTTTTGGTGTGTGTGTATGTATGTGTATATTTGAAAATGTATGTATGAGCGGGAGTGCAAGTATGTATATGTATAAAAGTGTTTGTATTTGTTAGTATGTAAGTGTCTGTGTGTGTGTGTGTGTGTGTGTGACGTATGTGTATGTGCGCCTGTGTGTGTCTGTGTGTCCATGTCTGTGTGTCCATGTCTGTGTGTCCATGTCTGTGTGTCCATGTCTGTGTGTCCATGTCTGTGTGACACAGATGCCCATACGAGTGTATATTTGTTTGTATGTGTGTGTGTGGTGCGTGAATGTGTGTGTGTGTGTGTGTGTTTATGAGTACGTTTATTTGTTATGCATGGATATATGTATGTATGCAGGTGATTATGAATGTGTGTATATGTGAATAAGTGAGTGGGTGGGCGTGTGCATGTTGGTGTGTGTGTGCGAACGCGCGAGTGTGTGCATGCATTTTACCATCCATGCTTTTGTGTTTTTTCTTGATAATCATAATATGCATATTATTACATGAACACAACATGCTTTATTGATAAAATACAACCTCTGTGTTAAAGGTGGGCGTTTCGACGAGCCGAATGTAAGACGGACCTGCGTGCACAGTTTGTGACCCTCTGAAAATAAAGTTCTATCTATCTATCTATCTATCTATCTATCTATCTATCTATCTATCTATCTATCTATCTATCTATCTATCTATCTATCTATCTATCTATCTATCTATCTATCTATCTATCTATCTATCTATCTATCTATCTATCTATCTATCTATCTATCTATCTATCTATCTATCTATCTATCTATCTATCTATCTATCTATCTATCTATCTATCTATCTATCTATCTATCTATCTATCTATCTATCTATCTATCTATCTATCTATCTATCTATCTATCTATCTATCTATCTATCTATCTATCTATCTATCTATCTATCTATCTATCTATCTATCCATCCATCCATCCATCCATCCATCCATCCATCCATCCATCCATCCATCCATCCATCCATCCATCCATCCATCCATCCATCCATCCATCCATCCATCCATCCATCCATCCATCCATCCATCCATCCATCCATCCATCCATCCATCCATCCATCCATCCATCCATCCATCCATCCATCCATCCATCCATCCATCCATCCATCCATCCATCCATCCATCCATCCATCCATCCATCCATCCATCCATCCATCCATCCATCCATCCATCCATCCATCCATCCATCCATCTATCTATCTATCTATCTATCTATCTATCTATCTATCTTGACAAGAGTCTCCTGTGCGGACGTGTTTTAGCGAGCTCTTCATTTTTGATTATTTTATGAAACCAGTGTAAACAACATTGATTTTCGTATCATTGTGATCGGTGTGTAACTGCACAGAGAGTGAATTTATTTAAAAGTATTTTTATGTGCGTATTTTCATGGTATTTCTACTTGATTTAAACAATAATTTAACAATGGAAACAAATTCAAATGTGATTCACTGGGCCAATCGGGTGCTACGGATGGATCAATCCAACCAATCACTAGGTAGTTGTTAAAAATGTCTTGTGACCCAGATGTGCTTGGGACTGTTTGCTGCGCGTCAGTGAATGTTTGACACAGGTGTAGCGTGTAAACCTGCAGTTATGTTCGGCGAGGAGAGCTTGACCGTTGTAGTAACAAAAAGGGGAGCGTATCGGCTTAAGGCCTGTGGTCAGCAGGAACTATGCGCTCAACAAAGAGAAAGCCTTACGGGACAAGCTTAAAAATTGTCTAAATGACCCAGGGCTACTGATTAAACATTCAAGTGATGGGAAATGTGTTAGCATCTGCTTCAATAATACTATTCAATATGAATGCTTTCGATCTTGCCTGCTGAAATACTACCAAACCGAAAATATTGAACACAGGACGGACAGACAGGGTGCGCACGTAGAGGCGAAAGTATCGTCTCCATCATACACGATTCACTTGTACCACACTAAAAATAAACTGCTGGTCCAAGGCAATGTACATGCTTTGGAGACATGGATGGGGAAGGAATTTATTGAGCTTCAGATGACAGCTCAGTCCTTGATACACAAGGAGTTTCTAAATTCACCCCAGAATCTCAACGAACCTACCAGAACTGAAACAGTCACTCCTGCTCAGCCAACATTTCTAACGATAACCAGCACATCAGCCGTCAGTCCTCAGATAGTAGAGGCCATTACATACACTAGTCAGAACATGGGCTCAGTAATTACAGGACGACCAGTTCTGCTAGCTATTGAGTACCCATTGGAATGTTTGCAAGACACGGAACAGCGTCAAGATTCTGTACCCACGGAACCGTTAAATTCACCCACAGACTTAGCGGATACACCGTCTACCAGGCATCCCGCATGCGACTGCCAGCATCGCACTGAAGTGTTAGCCACTAGCTTAACAACACTTATTGATACTCTCTCCAGTCAGCTACATAGGGACTACGACACACTTAGGGCAGAAATCCAGCTTTTGAGAGAGGAAAACAAAACATTAAAAATTATTATTGAAATTAAGCAGCGTGTGCCAGGAGTTGACATAGTTACACAAATTGAAGTTTCCCAAACATTACAAACTTCCTCCAGTCAGCAACAGGAAGCCAAACAACCACCGAATCAACAGGAGCAGGTTTAACAAGCTCCACAGCGCACTTATCCAATTGACGTGAAGATAACCAATCGATTTGATGCGCTGCTGGAGCAGTCAGTCGACGGTAAACTGGCTAAAACACCACTATTATGCACTCCACGCCTACAAGCCACATCGGAGGAGGTACATAAAGATGTACAAACTGAACGACAACAATGGCAGATGCAGCGGGCAAGGCGCTCTGGCTACCAGTTTACACAAGTAATACAGCCAGACTCCACCCACCTTATTATTGGCGACTCACTGCTAAAAGGTCTGTATAGTGATCTAATGTCTACATCTGACAATGACTTAGTTTCTGTCGTTCCATTGCCAGGTGCAGGGGTGGACAGACTTGCAGACAAAATAAAGAGACTGGAAACAAACGTCAACATCAAGAAAGTGACAGTTCACATAGGGATAAATGACACAATGAACAATATATACATCACCGACTTCCAGCTGCGGGTGCTGCTAGATTCATTGTGTCGTACATATCCTTCATCTACTAAAGTTTTTTCTTCTATTCTGACGCCGATGTTTGGCCATCAACGTCGACTGGCTGACAGAAACAATAAGGTGCTAGAGATCTTTTGTAAACAAAATAATTTAACTTTTATCAACCACACACCATTTTTTACGGCACAGTCTGGCGCCCCGAAGAAGCTCCTATATAAGGACCAGATCCACACTTCTACACTAGGAACGAGCATCCTGGCTAGGAATTTAAAATAACCAGTCAGGACACAGCTGGTACCCAACACAGAAGTGCCTATAGCACCTGTTTCTGCTTCACCCAGTCATCAGGCCAAACGATACAAGCGCAGCACCATGAATACCAACGCCCCATTACAGGGCGCTCGATCCTCCGGCAGCCCTGGAGTACCCACGCCATCACGTGGAAATCAACCACACCCTCACACACCCACCTTCTTACAGGAGAGTAGCAACTATGATTATTCCTTTCCTCCACTTCCAAGTAGTGAAAAGTCCGTCAATAGAACTGAAGGGCTCGGGACTGCGGCTAGAAACAACAGCGTACCCGACCGACAATATCCTTTGAATTGGAACCGTGATTTGTACCATCTCATGCGCTTCAATCCTGAAATTCTGCGACAAGCATTTATGATGTCAGCACAGTGCAGACCAGCCGATTACAACACTTGCTAAAAACAAATAAAAGACCGCGTACCCTATATCAGTCGGACAAGTTTTCTTAAGCGCTTATTTTATTATTACTGTGTTGCCCACTCGATCAGCAGTGGGTTACATAGCCATACTTATAAACAGTCATTTGTATATCAAACTACACTTATTTTGTATATTATTTGAGCTAGTTATAATACCGCTTAAATTTGCTAAACTGTAAGTTAGGTGGTAGTGTACATGAGTTAAAACATTGTAATTCATTGTAATTCATTTTTCCTGCACTATCTCCATTTTAACTGTTTTACCTTATTTTTTTTCTTCCAAGTTCAATACTATATTATTGTTGTAAATTTGTTTTACTCTTGTATTGCCTGAATAATATTTTTTGTGTAACTTAGTATATGCTGGTGCTGGCATAGCTTATATTCTATTGCCACACTGCAGTTTATAATGTCTGACACACATAAGCACTGGCTTAGTAAAACTGGACTTAGAATAGGTCATCTGAATATTTGCCATCTTCTGGGAAAACTGCCCGAACTGTCCCTTATTCTTACTCAAAATTTTCAGATGTTCGGTCTTAGTGAGAGTAGATTACATGACAACATTACAGATGATGATATACATGTCAATGGTTTTAGTGTTATTAGGAAAGACCCACATAAGAAACAAGAAACGGATATAGCGATCTACGCCAGTAATTCACTTAATATCCAAAGTAGACTAGACTTAGAGACTAGCGATGTAGAATGCATATTTTTAGAAGTTAAGCTACAAAACACCAAACCCATCGTAGTTGGTTTTTTCTACCGCAATCCTAGCGCTGATAATATATGGTGTGACAACTTTACCAATATGATGGATACGGTTTTCAATAATGTAGGGGAAATTATACTTCTTGGGGACTTCAATATAAATGCCCTAAAATCCAACAAGACGTGGGACGACATAATTACCTCATTTAATCTCAAACAACTAGTCAAACAGGCTACTAGAATAACAAAATCGTCGTCAACCCTTATAGACCATATTTATGCTACATGTCCTGACAACATTATAGAATGCAAGGTACCCACTACAGCACTGAGTGACCATTACCCCGTAATTTGTGTGTGGAATAAAAAAGGCGTAAAAACTGTTAAACAAAAGCATGTAAGTATTAAATTTAGAAGCTATAAACATTTTAATCAAGATGCATTCCTACTAGACTTGTTCAATTCACCTCTTGACCACGTTTATCAGCTCCCTGATTCAGATGACGCCCTTGAATATTGGCTGAAGACCTTCTCTAGTGTATTTGATAAGCATGTGCCAGTTAAAGAGGTCCGTGTGAAACATCAAACTAAATCCCCTTGGATCACACAGGAGGTAGTTGCAATCATGAGAGAGCGAGATAGGGCGCATAAAAATAAGGATATAATCACATACCGGAATCTGCGAAACAAAGTCCAGTATACCATTCGTAAGGAAAAAAAGAACGCTTTTAAACAGCTAATAGTAGATAAAAGAAACAGCAAAGACATATGGAAGGCAATTTATACATTGACAAACAAAGGTACTTCAACGCATTTGCTAACATCTAATATAACATCGGATGATTTCAGTAATTTCTTTAAAGTAAATATAAAAAATTTAAAAGCCACAATGCCAAACTGTCCATGTGATTTATCACTGCTATCGGCATTTTGTGAAAATAAATGCCCTGAAGACATTCCTTCTGACATTCCTCTCATGACAGTTGCGGAAGTTTTTATACACTTCAACAGTCTCAGAAACAGTAATACATCCGGTTTAGTCGGAATCAGCAATAGGATCCTTCGTAGTGCTGCCTCAGTTATTTGTGAGTCGATGACCTTTATTTACAACCAATGTCTTGTCAAAGGCTACTTCCCACCTGCATTTAAGATTGCCAAAGTGTATCCACATCTAAAATCTGGTTCATTAGACAGTAGTATCCTAGGTAACTATAGACCAATCTCCCTGTTATCATCACTATCGAAACCACTAGAGAAACATATTCATAATGTAACTTTTCAGCACTTAGATCACAACAAACTTATAGTGGATAACCAATCAGGTTTTCGAGCAAACTATTCTTGCCATACTGCTTTAACTAACATGATTGAAAAATGGCACCAGAAAGTTAATGATGAGAAAATATGTGGCGGGGTGTTTATAGACTTTAAGAAAGCTTTTGATATGATAGACCATAACATTCTTATAAGAAAATTAGAAACCATGAAATTTAACCCTAGACTAAACAAGTTAATAAAATCCATTTTGTTAAATAGAAAACAAATAATCTGTTACAGTAAATCACTATCGCAAGCCACTGACTTAAATACTGGGGTACCTCAAGGCTCGATTCTCCGTCCTCTGTTATTCAATATCTACATAAATGACCTTCCTTTATGTCTGTCGTCGTCCTGCGATTTATTCGCAGACGACTGTACCATCTATGCAAATGCTCAAACATGTAATTTACTAGAGTCTTCATTACAACAAGAATTAAATAATGTAGTCCAATGGAGCAGTGCAAACCGTATGCAAATAAACATTTATAAAACCAAATCTATTCTAATAACGACCAGGCAAAAACTATACAGTTTAAATTCTCAGAGAACGCTTCAGCTCTACATTGGGAGCACTCAAGTAGAAAATGTAACTGAGCACAAGACACTGGGGTTGGTAATTGATGCAAATCTAACCTTTAACTCACACGTACAAGCACTTGTGAAGCAAACAGCTAAAAAGGTTTACCAGCTTGCAAAAATTAAAAAAATTCTTGATGAACACACAAGAAAGATATTCTATATTTCTCACATCCAGACACATGTAGACTATTGCTCTACAATATGGGATGGCTGTTCCAGCTCTGTTATCAAGCGACTCACATCACTGCAAAAGCGCGCCATTCGCTTAATTAGTAACAAACATGGAACAGTGAGCTCCGAAACATATAAAGGTCTTAGACTACTACCGCTTCGTGAACGTCTACTTTTCAATAAGGCAAAATATACTTACAAAATATTATCTCAAAAGGCTCCATGTTACTTATGGCCGTTGTTCAAATATAATGAACGACATAGTAAGCGTCTAAACATATTACATATCCCTAAACCTAGGATAGACCTTTATAAAACAAGTTTGTCATATTCCGCTGCTCCATTGTGGAACTATCTACCACAGCAAATCAAAAGTACTACTAGTCCAAATACATACAATCGGAAACTGTTCGAATATTATCTGAGCACCGATTATATGCCCCCATAGAAAATAAAACATATGTGAAAAATAGCGCTAATTTTCCTTAGATTTGTTACAACTAATACGTTTTACTGTAGTTAGAAATGTGCGCATTACAGTGCTTGTATTGATTATGTTGATGCTATTGCTAACTTCTAATATTACTTGATGTGTGAATGAAATGATGTAAGAATGGAGGGAGACCTCGAAGGGCAGAATGTTAGACGGGCCTGCGTGGCCAATTCTTAACCCTTTAAAAATAAAGTTTGTTCGTTCTATCTATCTATCTATCTATCTATCTATCTATCTATCTATCTATCTATCTATCTATCTATCTATCTATCTATCTATCTATCTATCTATCTATCTATCTATCTATCTATCTATCTATCTATCTATCTATCTATCTATCTATCTATCTATCTATCTATCTATCTATCTATCTATCTATCTATCTATCTATCTATCTATCTATCTATCTATCTATCTATCTATCTATCTATCTATCTATCTATCTATCTATCTATCTATCTATCTATCTATCTATCTATCTATCTATCTATCTATCTATCTATCTATCTATCTATCTATCTATCTATCTATCTATCTATCTATCTATCTATCTATCTATCTATCTATCTATCTATCTATCTATCTATCTATCTATCTATCTATCTATCTATCTATCTATCTATCTATCTATCTATCTATCTATCTATCTATCTATATCTATCTATCTATCTATCTATCTATCTATCTATCTATCTATCTATCTATCTATCTATCTATCTATCTATCTATCTATCTATCTATCTATCTATCTATCTATCTATCTATCTATCTATCTATCTATCTATCCAATCTCTGCCTGTCTGTCTGTCTGGCTGTCTGTTCGTCCGGCCATCCATCCATCCGTCTGTCTGTCTGTTTTTTGTTTGTCTGTATGGCCGTCTGTCTGTCTCTCTAAGCTGACTGAATGTTGCCAACTTGCAGTGTGTCCCCCAGGAAGTTATGGGCCCGACTGCTTGAGTCAGTGCCCGGAATTCTGCACTGGGAAGATCTGCAACAGCTCTTCTGGCGACTGTCTCGAGTGCAGCGAAGGACGCCTCGGCTCCAAATGTCAAGGTAGTCTTCTAGCACAATGTACTGACAGGCTCTAACAATCTGTCTAACTCGGTCTCTCTCTCTCTCTCTCTCTCTCTCTCTCTGCCTGTCTGTCTGTCTGTCTGTCTGTCTTTGTCACCCCCCCCCTCTCTCTCTCTCTCTTTCTCTCTCTCTCTCTCTCTCTCTCTCTCTCTCTCTCTCTCTGTGTGTGTGTCTCTGCCTGTCTGACTCTGACATCCCGCTCCCCCTCTCTGTATCTGCTTGCCTGTCTGACTATGACACCCCGCACCCCCCCTCTCTCTGTCTCTGCCTGCCTGTCTGACTCTGACACCACACCCCCCCCCCCCCCTTCTTTCTTTGTCTCTGCCTGCCTGTCTGACTCTGACACCCACCCCCCCCTCTCTCTCTCTGTCTCTGCCTGCCTGTCTGACTCTGACACCACCACACCCCCCCCCTTCTTTCTCTGTCTCTGCCTGCCTGTCTGACTCTGACACCCCACCCCCCCCCCCTCTCTCTGTCTCTGCCTGCCTGTCTGACTCTGACACCCCACCCCCCCCTCTCTCTGTCTCTGCCTGTCTGTCTGACTCTGACACCCCTCCTCTCTGTCTGTCTGTCTGTCTGTCTGTCTGTCTGTCTGTCTGTCTGTCTGTCTGTCTGTCTGTCTGTCTGTCTGTCTGTCTGTCTGTCTGTCTGTCTGTCTGTCTGTCTGTCTGTCTGTCTGTCTGTCTGTCTGTCTGTCTGTCTGTCTGTCTGTCTGTCTGTCTGTCTGTCTAACTGTCTGTCTGTCTGTCTTTGACGCCCCCTCTCTCTTTCTCTGTCTCTGCCTGCCTGGCTGTCTGTCTTTGACACCCTCTCTCTCTCTCTCTCTCTCTCTCTCTCTCTCTCTCTCTCTCTCTCTCTCTCTCTCTCTCTCGCTCTCTCTCTTTCTCTGCCTGTTTGTCTGTCTGTATGTCTGTCTATGATGCCCCCTCTCTCTTTCTCTGTCTTTTCCTGTCTGTCTGTCTGAAGGTCTGTCTTTGACACCCCCTCTCTCTCCCTCTCTCTCTCTCTGTCTCTGCCTGTCTGTCTGTCTGTCTTTGACACCCTCTCTCTCTCCCTCTCTCTCTCTCTCTGTCTCTGCTTGCCTGTCGGCCTGTCTTTGACACCCTCTCTCTCTGTCTCTGTCTCTGCCTGCCCGTCTGTCTGTCTTTGACACCCCCCCCCCCTCTCTCTCTCTCTCTCTCGGGTGTCTGATTGTCTCGCCTGGTGAGCAGGCCAGTGTTGAGCTTTACCCAGAATCCCCTGGTAACTCCTCGCAGCGCAATTCTCCTCAGACCGTAATGATCTTTATGTGTCTCTGCACTGTTCACTCGCTTCCAAAAGGCACCGACTTAGATAGGGGGCTTTAAGTGGAACATTGTAAATGTATATGTACAGCCTGGAGTCCTTTGTTAAAAATGATCACATGGATTGGATAAGAGGTACCGAACAACATGCCAAGTGATCCAGTCCTAATATGTGGGGACTTAAAGACACGCGCCTATAAATGGGATCAGTCAAAGGACAAGAGACAAGGAGAAGCCTTGAAACACGCTACGGTAGAATAAGAGTTTGTCTGTATCAACGATGGTAAACCCACACTAATTGCAATGAGGTCGGGAGGTGCCGACACTGCATTTGCATTGGTCTCACGGATTGCACTTGGTGTTCATGGAGGTGGCCATTTTGTCAAGGCCACACACGGTAAGGAAAGCATGTAAAGCCTTCAGATATGTCAAGGAAGAGACACTGTTTGGGTGCATTAGGAGAAGAGTATGGTCAGGGATCATCAGGAGCAAATTCATTCAGCAACGATGGTGGATTCCAGAGGTGGAGCAAGCGTAGAAAGTTAAAAAAAAAAAAAAAAAGGGCGGAGGTGAAAGAATGGCAGCGAGTACAAAAGTTGCTTCTTTGTTTTTCCTGCAAGAGGAAGGAGATGAAAGCAGCAGAAGACTAAAGGAGAGCCGTGACTGCCGAGTTCAAATTGAGTACTGCAAATGCTAAACAAGTGAAATGGGAGTAGTACATGGACGAGATTGGGAAAAATAGAACAATGAGCAAGTTGTGTTGACTGCATAGGTAAATGAGCCGAAAGGAGCGAGCGGTCTCTTTCAGTTGGTGCGATTTACTGTGAAACTAGTGAGGTCCTGCCAACTGACAGTGAGAAACGGAATGCTTTTCTGAAAAGATTTTCAGAGCAGACAGATAAGAATGAGCGAACCATCAAAAGTTCTGTTATTAGTGATTTTACTAGAATAATCATAGATGCGACAATGAGAAGATCGTGAAAGTGAACGATAAACAGCATGTGCTGAAGAAAATAAAAGATAGTGCACCTGGACCAGATGGAGTCAGGCATAGTCATGTGAGGAGTTTAAGTGATGAGGAAGATAGCTAATGGCGTCGTGTTTCAATAACAGTATTGCAGCAGCGTCAGTTCCAATGGGCTGGCTGCATGGTTGCCTGCTACTAAGAACTGATACATGTTGTTGGAGATCGAAGGATGTAGAGAGGCATGGTCATCCACGCCTGTTGCCAAGGCACTTGATGTTGATGATAATTATGACGATAGTTTCGTTGTCTTGTCACCTCTACAGCAAGTAAGTGTTTGTGTCTTGCCACGTACAGTTTCCTGAGAGTATATTGTGTGTGTGCATTTATGTTGTTGTCGAGCCACTCAGATTATCCGTAAGTATATATTTTATTTCGTCTCACTCCTTGTGAAGTATAGTTTCTGTGACCTGTCATTCACAAATTCACTAAAAGTATTTTTTTTTTTTCAATGTCCTCCCGCTCGCATATTCTCAACATGTAAAGTTTCTGTGCATAGCTACTAACGAATTTGCTATATGTATACTTTCTCTGTCTTGCCTCTCACAGCGTGCCCAATCAACCAATATGGACCGAATTGCTCACTCACCTGTCCATACACCTGTTTCAATGCCGAATGTGACATAAATACCGGAGCCTGTTCCAGGTGTATCGAGGGATTCGCGGGCACCATGTGTAGCGAAGGTAAGACGTCTCAATGGCAGCTCTACACTTTGGAGAATTACATTTGTCAGTCCGTCACTGACAGTGACTGACTTCCTGCGCCTGCTTAAGATGATCGAAACTGACACAATCTGACTAGAATGGATTGACAGAATCCAGAATTCCCGCCTCAAGCAACTATTTTGGCTGTGCATACGGAATCACGCGGGGGTAAACGGAAATAGAAGAGCTGACAGGCTGGTCTTGTTTGCAGTGGTTAGTGTAGGAAGAAATATAGAAGGTTAAAGGCGTCTACCAGCAAGCTCGGTGGAGAGTCTTGAGCACGACAAGGCACCAAAAAAGCCTAGGTCGTTCACTCGCCCGAGTTCATTTCCAGACGTCTTGATTCGTCTTGTCACTGGACCTAGATGGACTTGGGCGAGAGAGTGTGGTCAACGAATTGCGCCATCCTTACTTTAATCAGAATCACTGCTCCACTATCAGCTTTCTTTAGGGTTTTTACACCCCCCCCCCCAACGTGTAACTGCCAGTTTTCTAAGTAGACCTAGTCGTCTCCCGGCCTTCCCTTCTACATTTCCTATGTTTGCTCCACATGAGCCGTTTATCTAATGGTACTCTAAAATAAGTGGGGAAGCTTTCTTCCCTTTGCAAAGATGCTCCCAGGTGACTACACATAGCTGTGTCCCTGGGAAAAGAGCGAGATGCGTTGTGGATGTTTTGCCTGTGTTGATGGCAACATGCCACTGTTCTGCCTATGCCATTCAGAGATGTGCTACTTGCGCATTCTTAGATGTGCCACTGGGGTGTGTTCATCGATGCACCAGAGTGCCAAATCATCTCCATACAGAGCATCCTTCACTCTTGTATGGAGGCCTTTCACCAGGTCATTGATCTAAACAAGAAAGTTGGAGTGAGAACACCTCGTTGTAGTACCCCAGGATGAAGCAACACTTTTCTGCTCTGCAGACCATCAAGAGTGACTCTAGTTCTCCTGTTGTATAAGAAGGATTATATCCATCTCAGCATGTTTCCTTGGACTGCATTTCTGTTGAAGTCTTCAATGAGACCATCTTTCCACATTTTGTCAAAAGCTTGTTTGAAGTCAACCAACATCGCCAGCAATTCCCCCCCCCCCCCCCCCCCACCCCCTTGAAAGATATCTTCCACAGCTTGTGACAGGTAGGTGACTTGGTCTCTTATGCTGTAACATTCTCTAAATTCTGCTTGCTCTGACACCAAGATTTGCTCAGATTCTTAGTGTCATTGTAGTCATTTTCAGTCTTTCAAGGCTGAAATGACTCTTGAAAGACAGGAAAAGAGAAGGGAAAAAAATGAAAAGGGGGGGGGGGGGGGGGGAGAGCAGAGTATAACAACCACGACAGGAGAAGACAATGTTGGAGGTTCACTGTAGCGAGGCTTCACTGTGGTGATAGTACCAAACTGCTTGAATGACAGTAAAGAACACTTGGAACTGAAATAATAAATGGGTAACCTCATGAACATTAAGACACAGAGACACACTACATACCTTTTCCGTCGATAGTAAATTCCAGAGTCAATCTTACACATTCCGCTAGTTTTTGAGCTTGTTTTGGCCAAGATGGCGTGATGTGTTTCTCTCTAACCTGACTTCAGACTGTTGATCGACGACCCGACAAGCCGCCATCGTACACAGTTAGATTGATAGCTCTTAATGTTATGATGCTTCGTTCGAACTTGTTAAATACCTAATATGTTATAAACTAGCGGCGTACCTGGCTTAGGCGTTTTTGAGTCCGATTAATAATTCTAATGTAGCGCGATTGAAACCCCCCTGCTGGCTGCGTGGATTTTTATCCTGGCATGGGGTGTCGCAGGTCGACCTAGCATATAATGGGTACCAGGATGTGTGTCCTAGGGAAGTAAAGATAGCCTGCGTAATGTACCACATTACCCACCTAGTGCCGATTGGTCTTTAGAAATATGGGTGTTCTTCCTATATGTCCGACACGCCTTCAGGTATGAAAAGGGATCTTAGCTTTTTTTTAAAAATGGGATAAACTTAGGTGCAATGAAGCCGACCCTTCTCATCACTAACCCTAAACTTGTAAACTATATAAATCTTGAAACCGCACACTAAACACACTGATCATATCCACTATTTTCTGTTTCCTTGCTTAGCCGAAAAAGAGACTGATGAATTTTGGTTTTTGCTGCTGCTTCTGGCCATTCCAATTAGCTTGGTTTCCGTGTACTGTGTCAAGAAACGAAACAATTCTGCACCCACAGAGGAAGAGAACTGTAAGTGGTCAGTTGTCCCTCTAGTTTGTGATTCAGTTTACATCATATCTCATCCTTATGTATCTAGTTTGTGATTCAGTTTACATCATATCTCATCCTTATGTATCTAGTTTGTGATTCAGTTGACATCATATCTTATCCTTTTGTATCTAGTTTGTGATTCAGTTTAAATCATATCCCATCCTTATGTATCTAGTTTGTGATTTGGTTTACATCATATCTCATCCTTATGTATCTAGTTTGTGATTCAGTTTACATCATATCTCATCCTTATGTATCTAGTTTGTGATTCAGTTTACATCATATCTCATCCTTATGTATCTAGTTTGTGATTCAGTTTACATCATATCTCATCCTTATGTATCTAGTTTGTGATTCAGTTTACATCATATCTCATCCTTATGTATCTAGTTTGTGATTCAGTTTACATCATATCTCATCCTTATGTATCTAGTTTGTGATTCAGTTTACATCATATCTCATTCTTATGTATCTAGTTTGTGATTCAGTTTACATCATATCTCATCCTTATGTATCTAGTTTGTGATTCAGTTTACATCATATCTCATCCTTAAGTATCTAGTTTGTGATTCAGTTTACATCATATCTCATCCTTATGTATCTAGTTTGTGATTCAGTTTACATCATATCTCATCCTTATGTATCTAGTTTGTGATTCAGTTTACATCATATCTCATCCTTATGTATCTAGTTTGTGATTCAGTTTACATCATATCTCATCCTTATGTATCTAGTTTGTGATTCAGTTTACATCATATCTCATCCTTATGTATCTAGTTTGTGATTCAGTTTACATCATATCTCATCCTTATGTATCTAGTTTGTGATTCAGTTTACATCATATCTCATTCTTATGTATCTTTCTTGATAAAAGTAAAGCAAAGGACCATTTTCCACGCCTTCAGGCGTTAAGGGCATATAAGGCTAGGCCTATATTTTATAGACTAATCGGCACAAGATGGCTGATGTGGTCAGCATCACGCCGGCCGCCTTGACTTCCCAGGACTGCACCCGGTACCCAATTCAAGGCTGGGTTGACTTGGGAGCCAAGGTCATTTTGATAAAGTTCGGCTCCGTCAGGGAGCGAGCCCACGACTTTCCGATCCTTGGTTAGCGTCTTGCCGCTCTGCCACGGCGACTATATCTTTTTATGTCTCTTTATCTTCTTTACCATCTTTATTATGTCTCATTTGTTTATCTTGCGGTCTGAAGGTCGTGGGCTCGTTTCACGGCTCCGCCCTTCACTTCTTGTGTGCAGTTTTACGGAGATTCCTGGGGATCGTCGCCAGAGCTACGAAGATCAGGCTCTGCGCGGCGCTCTCGGCAGGCGGCTAGCCGTTCTGCGGAGAGAGACTGAGACATGTGGGATAACACCCGGTGCAGTGTAGTCCTTCCTCTTGAACTTCAAACTTGTCACCTTTTTACCTGTTTTGAAAAAAAAAAAAAATAACTTTTTTAGTGGTTCAATATTATTGTTTTCTCAAACTAAGAATAAGTTCTAATGAATAAGATATAATGGTTCAAATCATCATCAAGATTGAACACCCCCCTCCCACCCTACCCTCTCAGAATAAACCTAGGCTCACAGGTCGACATAACCTTGACGTGGTATGAAGTTATATGACTGGTCCAGCAAACTGACAGTGATTTTTTTTAGTGCTATAATTTGAAAACAATGAAGAGAAGGCACTCAGATCCTTGCCAAGCATGATGTAAAAGGCTACTATTTAAAGACTTTGCTGAAACTGGATTTTCTGGACCGCAATGGGCAGATATCACAGCCTGGCAGCAAACCACAACACAAGGTCCAGATTCGGGTCCATTTTAGAAAGAAGAAATATAAGTCGACCACGTTCACCACGCTACTAGTAGCGGCACTCGGTTATATTTGTGGTCTGTTTTATTTTTAGTACCAATTTCATTGGCAGATATTAGAGTCTTTGTGCCCGGTTTGGTGGGTTTGAGTCCCTAACATCATGAGTAAAATTAATGATCTAATGTGGGAATGCTGCCTGGGTATGATGATCCCTTTGTGTGTGTGTGTATGTGGGGGGGGGGGGGGTGTTGGTGTTGGAGAGTAGTACGAGAAACTGTTGTGTGCGTGTAACAAGTCTTTTCCCGTGCTAATGAATCCACAATACAACGTGTCAACCGCCTTACAAGGTTAAACGCAAGGATGAGGAGAGGGAGAAAAAAGGGGGGGGGGCAATCCCAACTAATGGTACATCTTTTCGTGAGACCTTTCACTTGGTGATAGGATGATGATAATGATGTTCTAATGACGGATTAGATGCAGTGAGTGAAACTCCAGGTTAGCCACTGGTTCAGATAGCAACTGGTGGGTCTGGTGGAGAATTTTACAACATAAGAACGATTATAGTACACTTCCTAATGATTCAGAGATAGTGAATAGGACTCCTAGCCTTCTCGGATAAAGGCCAACAACTCGAAAACCCGCGTTCACGTAGCTCACTTTAAGAATCCCTCGGCAGGTGGGATCAGAAAGGACAAACCCTTTAGGCTGCCGCCCTAGCTGCAACACTTCATTAGAAAATCCGCTCTGCATCAAAGCAGAATGCAGAGGCTAGTGGCACACCCAACAAGCTATTTCCTCCCATGGGGATGAACGGGAAATGTGGAAACTAATGATGGGATTACTAGTCCCCAGTTTGGGGATACACAAGAAGTAAGTAACAGTCAACTAATTTGGTGTTTCCTTCGAGGTCGGAGTGAGTTCCCATGAGAGGCGAAGATGAAACAGTCTGCTTAAAATAAGTTAGATCTGTAAAGCGTATATGCAGGCACATTCGCGTTTTGGAACAAGACTAAAGTCCAAAGGTCGATAAAGAATTAGAATTTTTCTTCGGAGTTTATAGCCAGTGAACGGGAAGAAGAAGAAGAAGAAAAGATAATGATGGTGATTATCATTGTTGCTTGCTGAGGTTGTATGTCACGTTGAATCTGCATGAGAACATCAAACAAGTATTGACATTTTTAAATGTTTATTCTTATTTTATAGTAGAGTCGGAACAGGGCAATAGATTCAACAGGCGAAACCCGAAACGCTTGCACAAAAGTGATAAAACTTCGTGTATGAGGTTTTAGAGGTGCTCCATCGGCGAATGCTGCGATGAGAAATTTCCAGTTGGACTACGCACGAGACACAGTGCTCACATGTCTTAACCGGCCACGTCTACTGTCTGGCAGCAGGCTACCTGCACGTAATCAGCCGTGTGACTGAATCCTTAATTTGTGAGCGTGCATCGGCTGGTGTCACTTCAAGGATTTGTCTTTTGTGCCAGGATCGATGAAAGACAGCAGTACCTCCACATTACTGCAAGGGACGGTGGGCAGTACGAGGTGTAACCGGTACAGGTGCTGGTTACCTGTAACCTTCGGAGGTTCAACTGATTATCTAGACTTAGCCCTGGTCGTTAAGCATCCAGAATGGCCATTTGACGTAGCTGTGGTCGAAGCCTCGTGTAGCAGCTCTGGGAGGGGAGGACTGACAGATCTAAATCTGTAAGGTAGAAACGAGGCCTTGAACCCAACACACGCTCTCTTCTGTGACTGGTTACGATTTTCCCCGAATGAAACGTATCGCCATCTTCACGATTCCATTGCTGGACAACACGTTGGCCATTTCATAGTTGCTCAAAAGGATATGAAGCCAAACCTGCTGTCTTATTGTCGGAGAACTCCAAGTTAATATCTCTGGAAAGAGTCCACAAGCGTTCGGTCACACCCATTATACCTAAAGGTATGGTGAACTGTATCCAGCTTTGAGCTGGTAAGAGACTTTTGACGGCTGTCTTTGTGACCAGTTTCATGCTCGATTGCCTGAATCCATCCACCGTTACTAGAAGATCCTCTAATCCAGTGGCCGTCAACCTAATGCTGCGACCCTTTAGTACAGTTCCGCGTGTTGAGGCAACCCCCAACCATACAATAATTTTCCTTGCTACTTCATAACTTCAGTGACCATGTGTTTTCCGATAGTCATAGGCGACCCCTGTGAAAGGGTCCTTCGAACCACATGTTGAGAACCGCTGCACTAATCAATGGGACATCAAACACAGAGATGACATTTAGTTCTCTCAGTATTTCACACATGTCTGCCATCTGTGTCCCAAAGGTTGGTGCCGTTAAAGTCAGAACAAAAACATTCTCATTTCTTTTCACAACGCATGCTTGGCGAGGACAGAATAAACTAATCTGGCTGTTGAAACTTGTACAGATAATAGGTATTCATACCATAGTCACTTGTCACAAAACCACCTGTGAGATAACTACCCAACAAGTAACCATACATCATCTCAGTACTTTCCATAGTCAGTCGTCACACAACCACAGTTTCCATAGCCGGTTGTCACATGACCACTCGTGCACACAACTTCTTATAGTCCGTGCCATGTTTCGTTGGTAGCCATGTCTATCCGCAAGATTATGTCTCATGTACTTTCAATCATTTATGAAACAGATGCTCTTTCCTGTCATGATGTCAAACTGTCCGGTATCTTCTCTCTAGGTCTCCATCTGTCTCTTAAATGCTACCTGTCAACAACAACAACAACAACAACAACAACAACAACAACAACAACAACAACAACAACAACAAAATTATCCAACCATAACTCACACATTCAGTCGTCATTTAACCAGACCTGCCATTTTCAGTCGTCACATGACCAGACCTGCCATATTCAGTCGTCACATGACCAGACCTTCTATTTTTAGTCGTCACATGACCACATCTTCAAATCACTCATCACATACTCATACTTTCCAGTCAGTCATCATGTAACCTCACCTTCCATAGTCAATCCTGACATAACCACACCTTCCATAGTCAATCCTGACATAACCAGACCTTTCATAGTCATTCGTGGAGTAGCCACACCTTCCATGGTCAGTCGTGACAAAACCACACGTTCCATAGTCAGTCGTGACATTACCTCACCTTTTACAGTCAGTTCCATAGTCAGTCGTGACATAACCACACCATATGCGGTCGTCAAATGATCAGACATTCTATTTGCAATTGTCACATGACCACACCTTCAAATCACTCATCACATACACCCTTTAAGCAGTCGTCACGTAACATCACATTCCATAGTCAGCCGTGTCATAACCACACCTTCGATAGTCAGTCGTGTCATAACCACACTTTGCATAGTCAGCTGTGTCATAACCACACCTTCGATAGTCAGTCGTGACATAACCAGACCTTCTAAAGTCAGTCCTGACATAACCACACCTTCCATAGTCAGTCGTGTCATAACCACACTTTGCATAGTCAGCTGTGTCATAACCACACCTTGCATAGTCAGCCGTGTCATAACCACACCTTCGATAGTCAGTCGTGACATAACCACACCTTCCATAGTCAGTCGTGTCATAACCACACCTTCAATAGTCAGTTCTGACATAACCACACCTTCGATAGTCAGTCGTGTCATAACCACACCTTGGATAGTCAGCCGTGACATAACCACACCTTCCATAGTCAGTCGTGTCATAACCACACCTTCAATAGTCAGTTCTGACATAACCACACCTTCTATGGTCAGTCGTGTCATAACCACACCTTCAATAGTCAGTTCTGACATAACCACACCTTCCATAGTCAGTCGTGTGATAACTACACCTTCAATAGTCAGTTCTGACATAACCACACCTTCCATAGTCAGTCGTGTCATAACTACACCTTCAATAGTCAGTTCTGACATAACCACACCTTCAATAGTCAGTTCTGACATAACCACACCTTCAATAGTCAGTTCTGACATAACCACACCTTCCATAGTCCTGACATAACGACAGCTTCCATAGTCAGTCCTGACATAACCTCACCTTACATAGTCATTTGTCACACAACCAAATCTACTATATTCACGCAATTTTGACTGTGAGAGTCTGACAGTCGGAAAATAATAGCCTGAAGTATTGACGCCTGACCTGGAAGTTTCCATATCGACCTCGATATGCCATCTCATTCAGGAGGTAAGTACACACGTAGATGAAGGACTCTTCTCACGCCAGTGGCATGTAGAGATGTAATAATCGTCACTCGATGAATGATGTGGTCGACATCACACCTGCCGCCTTTACTTCCCATGAACATTCCATTCGCTTTTTTTTGCATTCAGCAGGTCCTTTGCAGAATATGAAGATCTAGATTTACCGAAAAATAGGCTGTGTTTCATCGAAACAAAGCAATGGAAATCATAGGTTTTACAGCGACTGGAAATGAGAAAAAAGGGTTTGAAATAAATAAAAAATAAAGAACGGACAGGGCCTTTTGCTGGTCCCATTAAAAGACATGAATCAAACAAAATCATACTGGAAGGAAAAGTTGAACGCAGGGAAGCAAGAAGTAGACCGAGATATAAGTGAGAGGACAAGATCAAGGGACGGACGAACAGCAGTCTAAGAGGTTGCACAACCAAGACAAGAGACAGAGTGTACTAAAGATCCCTTGCTTTCTGCCTTCATTATGGCGACTACTTCCGACTGATTAGCGAACCTTACATGAAGAGCTAGCACATACTGTACTCAACACTGATTGATAAATATTACCCTGTTGTAAATGTGGCAACAACATCATAATCAAGAATCGGCAGGTCGCTTTCATCACGGCATGACTGAAAGTCTGTTTATGTCACCCGTTTTTTCCAGCATAATGTGCTTTTACAGCCCATGCACTTTAATGTCTTCTATCCACTTTCAGAGAGTTCTGACTGCTTTTCCCCCCGAAAACTATACACTCTATAACCGTTCTCTCTGCTGGCCATCTTGAGGTCTAACCTGGCCAAAATACGCCAGCTTTCAGGACAAGATGCTGTTTATGGGCCAATTGTCCTCTATGCTCAGATTACACAGGATATCAGGGTTTTTCTTCTGCTTTGTTATTATTTATTTTTGTATAGCATCTCTCTTTAAAAGCTCCGGTTTTTACTTGAAACTTGCAGGCAGATGCTGTTTATGTTGCAACATCTATCGGTATAGTTGAAACCATTCTGCATGGAACAGCATACATTGATAAACATGAACATATAAGATATGGGCCAAACCTATGCATATCATTATAAAAGAACGTAGAAATATATCCAACATATATACTTGCTTCATTTTTTTATATTCTCATAATGTATACACTTTTTGTTATCTAAGGTTATTGTTTTCAAGACCATTATTGTAGAACTATGAATGTTATACTTATACAAGTGTGATAATTATTCACATATCGTCAAATGTGATTCCTTGAAACACGAGGAGTAAGTAGTAAACTGAATTTGAAGACAACAGTAAAGAGAATAGGTGAACTGAAACACATGTGTTCGTTGTGACATAAATATTGTTGTTATAGATCTTTTGTTATGAATCGGGTTGTATATCTTGTTATAAATTGTCTTATGAATCGTCTTATAAATCATGATATAAAAAGTGTCGTAGCCAGGTCAGGGCAACACAACGCGGAACATTTTCTGTCACCTTCTCACATATATGCTAAATGTAACATAAAATGAGTTGAGTTGAGTCAAAAATTGACATCACAGCACTCGGGGCATTCCCATGCAGGCTCCGTCCTCATCTTCAGCAGCCAGCGCAGAGTTCCAATACTGATGGTACCGGTCACAATCTGGTGAAAAGACAGTCTTGCCTTTCCTCTGAGTGTAGTGAGCCAGCCAGACCCCCTGGTTACACCCAGGTGCCTCATTCTCTCCCGGCTATAATAATCTTCTTTCTCTACTGATTCCGTTGTAACAAACAATGTGACTAGAAAGCTCAACGGGGGATTTAAAAGACTCACACAAAAACAAACAAACAAGTTTACCAGTGTTTTTTTATCAACGGAGTAAATGATAACGACTTTGGTTGAAACGTTCGGTTCTGTTTGTGTGAATCTTTCCCACTTCCTCTGCTGAGCTTTCTAGTCACATTGTGTGTTATACTTAGCAATCAGCTTGACTGCAGTCATTCCCTATCTTCGCCCTCTTGTGTGTGTGTGTATATATATATATATATATATATATATATATATATATATATATATATATATATAAAGATATACACGTATATGTATATATATATATATATATATATATATATATATATATATATATATATATATATATATATATAAACACATACAAACATACATGCACACACATTTTAAAAACCATTTGGTCCCCCCTTCCACCAGTAACGACCACCCGGAGCAGCCTGCACCTCCCCACCCTCCTCTCGTACGCCTTTGGTTATAAATAGTATTTTCGTTCTACTTGTATTTACCATTAACTGGCTGTAAACTCCGACGGATATTTATGGGTGTTCGTCCACTTAAAAGACTTGGGATTCACATGCATATCCGTTTTCATAGTGGTTTATTTATATGCAAAGTGTTGGTTCCTCGCCTGTCAATGTCAGACAGAACCACTCCTATTTGGAAAACCCTTAATTAATCACCTTTTAAGACAAGCTTGAATGAACTATGTTACATTTCTTTTGCTTTAAGTCTTGTTGTAAACTTAGATTGCAAAACATAATACCCTACTCTTACTTGCAAACAGCACATGATGATGATTTTAATGATACAAGTAGTACATGAGTAAAACAGATCTTGACTTGAATTCGTGAGAACAGGATACCACGGATCGATCTGCACAGAGAGGAAAACATTAGAAAGGGAATAGGGACCAATGAGAAAAAGACTGCAGAAAAAAAAAAAGAAGTGAGCAGCTGAGAAGAAGCTTGTGATGGCAACAGTAATCATGAAAACGCCGGCACTTACTGTAGAAGATTCTTCTTAAAGTTGGCTGATCTTGCTAGTCACACTCGCCATCGCCATGGGTTGTCATTGCGACGGTCTCTATGACCTAAAGGAACTCTTTTAGTTTTATTTTATTTGCCAGTGTACTCTGGTGTAAGAGGGAATGTACAAGCGGACTGACTTGCTGGCAGGGCCACCATTCATACAGGACACGGAGGCAGGCAGGACGAGAAGACGATCCAGGAGGCGACGGGAAACCGGCAACATTAAAGAAGGCTACACGAACTCTGGGTCAGTAGCGGTATTGCCAGACATAAACACTATACGGGTAGCCAAAGAAGAAGAATAAATCAACATATAACTTGTGTTATCAGTCGCCATACTGAGGGATTTAGTGAAGATAGGATCCAAGCGCTTGTGGACTTCGATGCGAAAGCCATGGAAAATCTTTAGTGCAAGACAGCCTAGCATACGACACCACAATTGGTATCATGAGAATGGAGGTGCAGCTCTCTGGTGGCTAGAGAACAAAATGCATTCACATGTCGTAATTGTAACAGACTCTGAAAGTATGCTGAGAAAGATGAAGACAGGGATGCTTCGAGCAGAGTGGCAAGCTTCACTAGAAAGATCACGGGTAGTTGGCATACTTTGGATCTTATCTTCTGGGCATGCCGTCGTAGTGGGTAATGAACAGACAGGCAGATTGGCTAGAATCTGCACCACTGGGTGGTGAACTGATGCATGACAAGGAAGATAGTGTCAAGGCCCTATGGGAACAAACAAGTAAAGGAATCAGTAGAGAAAAAAGATTATTATTGCCTGGAAAGAATGAGACACTTGAGTGTAACCAGAGGGTTTGGCCGACTCGCTACACTCAGAGGAAAGGCGAGACGGACCTATAACCAGACAGTGACGGTACCATCAGTATTGGAATTCTGCGCTGATTGCTGAAGATGAGGACGGAGCACGCATGGGAATGCCCCGAGTGCAGTGATGTCAGTTCTGGACTTAACTAACTAACTAATTAACTAACTAACTAACTAACTAACTAACTAACTAACTAACTAACTAACTAACTAACTAACTAACTAACTAACTAACTAACTAACTAACTAACTAACTAACTAACTAACTAACTAACTAACTAACTAAATAACTAACTAACTAACTAACTAACTAACTAACTAACTAACTAACTAACTAACTAACTAACCAACTAACCAACCAACCAACCAACCAACCAACCAACCAACCAACCAACCAACCAACCAACCAACCAACCAACCAACCAACCAACCAACCAACCAACCAACCAACCAACCAACCAACCAACCAACCAACCAACTAACTAACTAACTAACTAACTAACTAACTAACTAACTAACTAACTAACTAACTAACTAACGAGCTAACGAACTATCCAACTAACTAACTAACCAACCAACAAACCTACCGTTAGCAGGATCATCACAGAGCAGGTCACTCACTTGCCCTATCAATCGAAAACGTTGCTGAAGTCTGAGGAGGTAATCTAAAGCCAGGTGCATGTGGAAAGCAAGTGGAAACTACCAATAACTATCCGACGAAATGTATCATGGAAGCCAAAAAGGAAACCAATAGGAGCTTTTGAGCTGAAATCCTAAAGAAAGATTATTAGAATATCTTGGACAAAAAAAAGAGGAGAAATACTGACATCTTGAAAGATCTGAACATCAAGAAAGATTGGTTATTAAACAGCATCCTGTCTCGGAAGGTGAAATATTTTAGTCATATCAAGCACCATGACAGATTGGAAAAGCTAATAGCAGAAGGCATGGTACCAGGAAGGAGGGACAGGCGCCGACCAACACGAAGATGAGCACAGGATATAAGTGACTCCTTGAGTATGAAAGTACATGAGACTAGAGAGCTGGCGAGAGACCGGGTTTCTTTCATGCAGACCGTGATGAGAGCGACGTTCTGCAAAGGACCTGCTGCATGATGATGATGATGATGGGGATAGTGTGTAGTAATAGAAGTAGTATTAGT